CAACGTTGAATTTGATTATGTCAAATTCTTAATCCAGTCTTGACCACATAGCGGTGGTCCCTCCCCATCCAATACATACAAATTTAAATATTTAATTGTATTCAAATATTTAACCTTAATATTCGAGACCTGACCAACGACTGTGATAGGAGAACCCTCATAAAAGAATAATTTTTTAGAACAATTTTCCAACTCAAATTCTTCATAATTCTCCAATTTTTCAAAATCCTTAATGGGCAAGGATGTCACCGGAGAACCCATATCTATCAAAAAAGAAAAATAGATTATTAAGTTACATATTAATCATAAAATCATTAATAAAATTTATCTTATTCCTTGGCCTCAAATTATATGGCGTTTGTATCATTTCTTGTTTTTTGAAATTGTTTGTTGATCTTAAAATCCTGCTTGTTCTCTTTCCAAGACGAATAGCCTTGCCAATCGGCTCTATCCTCTCTTCTCCAATTCTCTACATATGTTTTATTATTATTAATATCCAACGATTGAAATTTGACAACAATGTCCTCTATAATATTAAGCTCTGTAGTATTTTCTTCTATCAACCTTGTTTTTAGCTTTTCATTACGACAATTCAACATAAATTGCACCGACAAAAATTCAGGATTGAGCCCCAAACCATACCCTTTTAGTCTATCGAGATACTCTCTGGAAGACTCAAGTCTGTCCGGTTTTGTATTGAATAATTCAAATATGCGCGTAATCTTGTTTTTTTCAACTTTTTTTGTATTAAATCTTTCATCTGTTGATACGATAAGTTATCTATGTTGTCCATAATACTAACAGCCATATCTTTGTCAATTGTTTCGAACAGTTTGTATTTCTTAGTTGCCTCATCAACAATATTTTCGGCTAAAAATTTCAAATCCAATGTTTTCAATAGAACTTTGATTTTGATATGATTCCTATCCTCCACTAAGAATAAATACTATAGAATAAATTGTGTGTGATTGTATTGCATAATTAAGTAGGAATATTGAACAAGATGTGGTCTTTTATTTGATAATATGGTTATACAAAAGAAAACAAGTGGTCTTTTTATTATATAATATATTTGTACAAAAGAAAATCAAGTGAAGTTGTAATGAAAATATATATCAATATATATGTTTTATCGCCTTGATATGTATTTATATACATGTTAATTTCAATGAATAAAAAGATAATATAAGAAGTATACAATGAATTACAACAATTTAAGCGACCATGCAACAATATATAATAAAAATAATTATTATAACTGATAGTACACGGAAGGCAAAGATCGAAAAATTTAATTTAATTTATTTAATTTATTAACAAATTATCTATCTATTTTACAAATTTCTATCCTATATATACATTTTTTATATTATGATTATTTACATATACAGAATTTAAGAAAATAAAGAATTTATTTTAAGGTTAAAGAAAAAGAATTTATTTTAAGGTTTTTACAATAACAAAGTAAAAAAGAAAATTTAACAAATTAATAAAATAAAATTTTGTTTTAAGGTTAAATAATTTAAATGACCTTAAAAAGTTTTATTTTATATTTAACATTTTCCTCTTTTTTTCAAAGTTTTTCCTTATCTTGTTTAGTCCTAAGTTGATCATCCTATTTGTTGCTTTGATATACATTTGCTAGTAATGCGTGAGTTTGTTTGTCAGTTTGTTGAATCATCGTTTGTTGATAGTTTGCTGTTTGTATTTGATCATTCCCATTTCGCTTTGAACTTGAACTTGTGAATTTTGAACTTGAACTTCACTTTTTCCCCCTTTAAAAATCTGTGTAGTATTTTCATTTGTTATTATGTTTGTTGATCTTTTCTTTATTTGATTTAAATGCCTTCTAATAATATTGTGTCCATTACTTTGTATGACAAGTTCTCAACTATCACTATTCCTTTGTCCCAATTATTTTATTTAAACTTTTTGTACCAATTGGTTGATTAACATTTTTGCCATAGTTGTTGTTGCCTAAGTAATATCTTTTTCATTGGTTTATTCGAATCGCTAGCTTGTTATCCTGATATTCTAATCATTCGCTTGATCATCATCATCCCATCCCATTAGTTTGTTCATCTCGTTATTTATTATCATTTGTATTTAGTTATCATTGTTTTATCAATTTATCTAGAATAATTTTGGAATAATTGAAATGATAATGGAATAAATAATTCATAAAATAAGAATAATAATCATATTTTGGAATATCGAATAATAGAATATTCTAAATTGTCGCTTTTTATATAATAATTTATTTTATTTATTTTTTTTATTAAATTTCAATTATTTTTATTTTTAAAATTTTAATTTTACTCCCTTATTTTTCAATTTTAACAATTTCTTCGTATTATAATTCTTCAACTTATATTTTATAAAGAAATTTTTCTTTAGTCTTAATTTTTTAACATATGATCTCCATATCACATCCTTAAAATCTTTTCTAACATCAAGATATTTAACTTTTACCTTGCTTCTCTTTATAAAATTTGTTTTAAATTTCTTTATCTTCAAAGTTTTTCCAAATTTTTTATTACTTTTATCATAATAATAAAAGTTTATATTTTATAATTTTATTTAATGTTTATATCATATCACAATTATTTCTTTAAATTATAAAATATAATTTATCTTTTTTACTAATCTATTTTAATTTGAACATTTGGTACTAATTTACGTAATTAAATTTTTTTCAAGTTTTTATTATTATGAGATTTATAATTATAATAATCATTTCTATTATTGTTATGTTTCTCTTTATAATATTTGTTATCTAATTTTCTACTTCCATAATAATTTTTATTATTCAATTTTTTATATTGATTTCTGTTATAATAATTGTCTGTATCACTATCACTATCACTATAATAATAATTATTATTTTTATAATTTTGACATTGAAAATTATTATTAGGATAATTTTCTTTTATCTCCTTTACCGATTTATAATTACATAAATATTTTAATCTAAACATTGCTTCCTCATTAATTGAACTTTCATCTCTTGGTTCCATTGCTTCCATAGCCAAAAATAAATCTTCTGGTAAATTATGCATTAAGCTTAAAGTATTTTTACTATCGTAAAAATAATCTTCTAATTTCTCAATGGATTTATTTATGTTATTATGGTCCCATGTTGGTTTATTTATTAGATTTTAGAGATTTTATTATTAAAGTTTTTTTATTTTTTTTTATACGATGCACTTTTACATTTTGATCATCTCGTACGTGTTTTAGAATTAAACAAACATAACATTCCAGAATCCTCTTTCATCTAGTTTGACCATGTTCCAGAAGTCATATCTAAAATTGTCTCTGAAAAATATCTTAAAAAAATCTCTGAAGCAGCTGCAACGATTAAAAAATTTAACTTAATTTAATTTCTTTTATTTAATTTAATTTATTAACAATTATATAAATCTATTTATTTTACAAATTTCTATCCTATATATATACCTATTTTATAATATGATTATTTACATATACAAAATTTAAGAAAATAAAGAATTTATATTAAGGTTAAGAAAAAGAAATTATTTTAAGGTTTTTACATATAACAATGTATAAAAGAAAATTTAACAAATTAATAAAATAAAATTTTGTTTTAAGGTTAAATAATTTAAATGACCTTAAAAAGTTTTATTTTATATTTAACAATAACGATATCGGTTTTACTGTAACATAGGTCATAAAATTTAATGTATAATAAAAAATTCTGTAATTATTTTTTGAAATTGTATAAAACACACTCCACGTTTACTTTATCATTCTTCATACTCTTTCCTGGCAGATTTTTATATAGAATAAAATAGATATATACCGTGATAATATTTTATATTTCTATTTCTATTTTTCTTATTAGATTTTTATAATCATTTGTTTCTAAGAATTATAATCTTCATCTGTTGCTTTGTATATGTATGGTAATTGGTATAAAAATGGGCACGGGGAAAAGTACGAGTAGCCCCCCCCCCCCACCAAAGAAAATCCCCGCCCCTAAGTTTGGCCTCCAAATTCCAAAAATATTTCCGGCCCCAAAGTTTTAAAAATATTACGTATTTAATTTTTATTCTTCAGTAACCATTAAATCTAAATAAAAAAATAATGAAATACTTAAAAAAATATGGCTGTTAAAATATAAAGAAACTCTAAATGTCATTTAAATCCAAAATAACTTGATAGAAATGGTAATATAATGAATGATGCAGAGATATTTAAAATTTTGAGAAACCAACAACTTGAGCGTAATGGATATTATTTGAAAGAAATCTCTATTTGGTTTGATAAAATTTCCTAGCAAGCAAAAGCCATTTTGTGGATCTAATTATATTATAATAACTGATGCTGCAGATGAAAATATAATATATTCTTTTAGAATATCCTGTAATTATACATGCCATCAAGGGCGTTGCTAGCTTCTTCAAAAGTGGATTCTAAAGGTGTTAATTTCATTTTAAAAAGTGTTTTAAACTTTATTTATATATAATTTATGAGTTCATATCCCATATACTCCTTCAGCTGACCTATAGAAGGGTCTATGTCCATAGATTTATATCTTCTACCATGTTTAATTTATCATACATGTTTTCGCTAACAAAAATAATACTAAACATTACACTAGACCTATTCAAAAAAGAATTAAATATTTGATTCATATAGTAAATAATTTAAATATTATGAATAATTTTAATATTCAATAAAATATTTAGATATTTCTCCCCGTCTTATAAAGATGAAACAACTATTTGCCTTAATAACGTTAATTATTCTAAGCGTTTGAAAATTTATGTACATTGCATTTTTAATTCTGAGTGATTAATTTGGAGCCATTAATTTATAACTTTTGTAGTACTTGAATCCTATTCATTAATTATATAATTAATATTTGGAATAGAATGGCAAATATATATAAAAAATATATTATAGCAAAAATTTAATTTTACAATAATATTTTTTCATTAAAATATTCGATTAACAAACTTTTCTAGCGGTATTTATTTTCGTTGTTTATATATTTTCAATGACGGATTAGCATACGTTAATATTTTTATTTTAATCATGAATTTGGAAAATGAAAGTAATGTATTAAAGTTATATATTTAACTATATATGAAAAGATGATGGTAAAGTATTATCAGGATCAACATCAGGTTGGAATGATCCTCCATTCTTAACTTATACATCAAATTACTCATTGATGTCATACAAAAATACACAAAGAACTTTAAACGAAAGGCTTGTCCACCCGGAAGTGTCTTTAATAAATACAAGTGAGTTTTCAGAAATTTTAAAATATGTTAATTATTTTTTTATATAGCTCGTAATCAATCAATTAACACTCCAAATCCTATTACCTCACATGTTATAAAGTTTATATAATTAACCTTAACAATTTACTTAATAACATCTTATATTTTTAATGATCCTTTTATTAATAAAAACTTATTTAAATTCATACCATAAATAGTAATACAGAGACTGACTATGAAGACACTATGATAAATAAAGCATTTATATTTGATAACATTCGAAATTGCCTGAAAAAAATTGATAGTCAACAAGACTATGTAAGTCAATAAGAAATTATTTAATAAGAGTATTATATATTATGACCTCTACAGACTTGGACAAAATAGACAGAAAAAATATTTTATTTACAATATATTATGTTGCATGCTCTTAGCAATATTTAAAAAATATTTGCAAAATGCAATATGTTAAGCTAGTAATTTAATTCATTAAATACTAGGGTATCAAAAACATAAGGAATTTGTTTTTAAGTATATAAACACATTTATTATATCAAAATTTCAAAAAATAATTTATATAATTTTTTATGCTTCATTAATCAAGCATTGGGAGGCAATGAGTTAATTTTTTTGTGAATTAATTTTAATGTAAAAATCAGCACATTGCACCTATATGCAGTTTTTATATTGGACATTTGTAATGGCCTTGATGACTTTCTTTAATTGGCATGACATTTTTCTACTACTCAGATTAAATCAATTAGGCATCTTGTTTGGCCAGGACAATATTTTTTATTAGGTGTATTTACAATCATAGACCAGATAATAAATATTCTGAATATAAAATTAGGCATATTCCCAACCATTGAGTCATTTATTCTCCAACTGATTACAACACATAAATTGAGTAAGTTGGAAAATAGGCACCATCATTTTTTTGCTATGCAGTCTAGGAAAATAATCATTAAAAAATCTATACAATAAATCAATTATTCTCATCTGTTATGATTAGGCCTACAAAAAACGAATCGAATCGAATAATACTATTATTCGTATTCGTACAAAAATAAAATCATTATTCGCTTCGATTCATCGAATATTCGATTTGGAAATTTTTCTAAAGCTTATAAAATATTTTGCAAAAAAAATTTTACAGATGTTTAAAGATGACACTTTTAAGGATTCTCTAAACTAATTGTCATTACAATAAAAATTTATAGAAAATTAACGAAATAAAACCCAATGATTTCATATAACGTTAACCAAACAAATTGACCAAAATATCCAATTTTTAGAATTAGAATTGCTTATAAAAAGATATTTAAACTATTTCTTCAATCTAATATTTAAATTTTCTAAAAATGTACAATAATCTCATTTTATAAAAATAGAAAATAATACACAAAAATATAAAATTATAGTAAATCCGAATTTGATAATATCCAATTTTTTAAGCATAAAGTCTTTCTAATAGTTTCCTCCTTCAAAGACATTCTATTTTTCATTATCATATTTGTTCCTATTGAGAACAACTGCTCACATGAAGCCGAAGATCCCTGAATTGACAATATATCAGTTGCCATTTTCGACAACACAGGAAAATGATCCCCATGCAATCTCCACCATTTTAAGGGACTCTTATTTGAACTGATTCTTATTTCGTTAAGATATGTCTCCACCTCACATACTGATGCGATGTTATTTTGTTTAAAAATTCTATCCATGTTTGACTGTACTACTGGGTTAACTGATGTTGATTTGATATTATATTTTATTTTGTAATCATTATATATATCTTTAAATTTTTCTAATAGATTTGTCGTTTCTATGTTATATGTAGTTGGTAGTTGCTCAAAAAATTCCATTTTTAGTCTAGGATCCAGTATTGTTGATATTATAGTGTGAATATTTGTTAAGTTATAATAAGTTTCTATTTTCGCAATCGAGATTTATTTTACTTGCAATAAAATATTTGCGAATAATTACGAATATTTATATATAAATAATTTATAATAATATGAATAATTTTCCTCATTATTCATATTCGATTCGAAATTTCGAATCGAATAATTGTGTTATTCGTATTTGTAAAATACGAATCGAATCGAATATCAAATAACAAATAATTCGTTTTAGGCCTAGTTATGATGTGATCCTATTTGGGTATCTTAATATGTACTTTATGTATAAAACTCCATTTCTTGATTTCATTTAAAAAATAATTCCTTGCCACTTGCTCACCACTGTTTCTAGACAACTATTATCCCAGAATAACACTAAGCAAGCTTTTTATCACTCAAGGTCCATAATCATCTGGAATTTTTTCATTAGTTTTTGATTCAATGGACATTTTGGTTCAATTTATGTGGATTGTTCCTTTACAACCTAAGCCTTTTCTACTAGCCTAATTCATTCTTTCTAAAGCAAGTTCTTAAACTAGAAAATTTTTGTTAATTTTCTCAGGACTCTTTCACCAAGAGGACTAGTGGACTAGCTTAATTGTTATTGTTCCTGGTATAAATATCAAAATAGAATAGTGCTGTAAACGTTACTACAAAAAAGAAGTTACTGTTACTCATTATGTCTGAAAAAAGAAACGTGTTGCCAGTACTCGTTACCTTTTTAAAAAGGAACGTGCATTACTGACTATTCAAAAAAGGAACGGGTTACTCGTTACTTAAACAATTTAATATTATATTTTTTTTCCCTACATTATTGAATATAAATAAAACTATACAAAAAGAATATATAATAAGATAAGATCTTTTTATAAAAAAAAATTTCGTATATATAATTATAATATAAATAAAATTAAACAAAAAACATATATTATATATAAGATAACATCTTTTTGTAACAATTTTTTATTTATTATTAGCAACAATTGATTTTAAAGATTTTGATCTACAAACAAGAGTGCTTAAAGCTTTCACCATGCTAAACACACGTTCAATTGGCACATAGGATGGGAGAGTTTATAATAAATAAAAAATTAAATTCAGGGAATTTATTTAAAATATTTAATAAATTATAGTTATTTTGGAAAAAGCATAATAGATCATCTTCATTAATTTTCTCATAAAAATTTTTTTTATCTATTAGAAAATATTCTGGTATGTGTGTTGGATAAAGGAATTACATCTCTTTCTTTATCAAGATCTTTTCTTAAACTGGAAATAAGTTCTAGTATTCCCTGCAGATGAATTATTGTTGATAGTTTATATTCAACTTTATAGATGTGTTTGAATCTATTGAAAATAAAAGATAATTAAAATATAAATTGTAAGCAATATTTGAAATGTACACCTTTTATCAACATCTTCCAGGATTGAATTAATAAGCGACTTACAAACTTGAAATTATTTAAAGTCATTTTGTAAAGTTTTAATTAGGGATGTACCGATATTTAATATCGGTTCGGATCGGGCGAATATTTTACCTATTTTAAAATATCGATTATCGGCAAATATTATAAAATTTCCCAATCCAATACAAAATATCGTTTTTAACAAAAATAAAATATTAAATTTAAAAAAAGTTATACCAAAAAATTTATAAATAAAATCGAATTGCTTAATTTTTTAATAGTAATAATTAGTTAATAAACATTCTGCCATATTGTTATTTTTTTGCATTCTGTTTATAAAAGTGTGCAATAATCTCTTCAGAATCTGTTTTTAGTGAAGCTAGTGATATAGTCCCCATCACCGCAGACTGACCTCTGATAAATTGGAAATTTTTGTATTTCTAAAAAGAAATCTTTAATATATTAATTTAAATATTTATTTCAAATTTTATAATTTGTTTAGTAATTATTATATAAATAGATTAACGTTATTACTTATTATATAAATAAGTGATTTTCAATAAAAATATTTTATACACTTTTAGAATTGCAATTGAATTGAATATAACCTATAACTGATCATTATAATATATTTAAATGACATGTTATGGTATAATTAAATTATAGATGTTATACTAATAGAAAGTATATTAAAAATTAAAACCATTGGTATCTTTACAGAATACAAAATTAGATAAGATATCGGATCGGTAATCGGCCGATATCAATTTAATATCGGGAATATCGGATCGGCCTTCCAAAAAGTGGTATCAGTACACCCCTAGTTTTATTATATGGGTAATAATTTCATGACAAATCGACCAGCGATTCAGCCGACCATCTCAAAAATGAATGAAACATGGCATGTTAGTTATTTATGTTGTAAATGTTAATAAAATCAATATTTTAGAGTACTAGCTTAACCAGATCCAAAGATATACACTTTCAAAGTCAAAAATTATTTAAAAAATACTTAATAGAGTTACAAATTATATGTCATTTTATAGCCCTTAAAATTTTACGTTGGAATATATAAAAAAAATTGAAAAATTTCAAGTGTTTTTTTATTTTCAGTAAAAATAAAAAATTAACATTGTTAGGTAGGGATTTTTTTTGGGTGTTAATATCCACTAAAAATGTTAATTACCTTTATATTAAACAATTTAATAAAAAATCTCGATAGCCTTTGTTTTTTAAATTTTATTTGAATTTTTATAAATAAAAAAATGCAATATAGATGGCGTTATATTAATTTTTTTTATTATATATAATTTTTAATAAAAATATGAATATGAATAGTATTGCTATTAATATAAAAAAATAAATTGAGTATAACCATGAATGATGTCCTGGGGCGATATGTAAGCAGGCAGCCCATACAGATATGATTTTATTAGTACGCTATATTGTAAAATAAACATATTTTAAAATTTTATGCACAAACAATATAAAAATAAATACCTCTTGTTATAATATCCCATTTTGTGCTTATTAATAGAATTTATTGAGACGATAATTTGTAGGTACGTCCTGTCACTGTAATAGGATCTCCTATTATTATTTGATTAATGGGTAACCATATCTTTTCCACAATTGTGTAAATGAAGGATAGTGATGGTCCATGGGGATGTAAAAAGGAAATATATATCTCCTCAGTAATTTCATTCTTTTTTAGTACTGTGGCTAACCACCAAAAATTGTCATAAACACATGTTACGAATCCTTTAATATCGGCAAAAGACAAATTATCGGCATTTGAGATATTGTTAATTTGAAAGTCCTCTGCATATGAATATATTTCTGATTTAAGTTTACTTAAACTCAAAGGAAATACAGCATATATTTCCCGAGTTCCTGGAATGGGACGAGCTAAATTGAATCTTTCTCGTAGTTTAATGTTTTGTAAATAGTATTGTTCGTTGGTTATATATGTAAAATTTACTGATGGCATGTTTAATTTTGCAAATTGATA